GTGTGTGTGCGCGCGCGCGCGCGCGCGCGCACGTATGTGTCTGTGAAAGGGACCAGGGGTGTCTTAGGGTCCTGGAAGTTGGAACCCTGGATATCAACGTCCAGGGTTTTAAGGTTCCCGGGTGACTGGGTCCAGAGTTTTGTAGCCCCGGATGTGGGTATTTAGGGGTGGGCGGGGGCTGTGTCCTTACGTGCCGGCCTGGCGAAGGGAATGGATGAGGATTCGGTCCGCCTCCTCCATGATGGAGCCGTGTTCGAGTCCGAGGCCGGGTCCAGGGCCGGGTCCGAGCAAGAGAGGCGCGGCTGTAGAAATCCCGCTCGGCACTCGCGGTCCAAGGAGTGTCACAGGCTGCGCGGGGACAGACGGGAAGTGTAGTTCCGAGAGTGAGTGTGGCGCACGCCGGACGCCTGGCGTCCTGGTGCAAAGGTGCGTATGTAGGCTTGAGTGTGCAATGGCTGCTGGGACTTGTAGTTCTTCCGCTTGCAGTCCGGGGGCGGTGGGGGGGGGGGGGTTTCTTCCAGGGAGGCAAAGAAATATACCTTGAGCGAGAGCGAGAGCGCGAGCGTGTGTGCCTTTGTACGCGCGTGCCCGTGCGCATTGTTCAAAAAAGGGACCAGCCTGAGAGCGGCTTCCTGACACGTACGTTCAAGGCGGCATTCATCTTACCATTGTAAAAGTGTACAAGTTAAGGGCTGGGGCTTTAGCGTAAAGCGGCTACGGTTGAATCTTAGCTTTTTAGCTCAAGTCTTTAGCTCAAGTAGCTAAACGGTGGGCAGGTTACATAACTTCCCTGTGTCTTAGTTTCTTCATCTAAAATAGAACTATCACTATACCTGCTTCCTAGGATTAAAACAATTAATTTCATGTAAAGCATTGTTACCGTGTACCTGACACATAATACAGTAGCAAAGCATTACATACATTGTAGTCACTAGTATTCATGCATTCTGTAATGCTTTTTTAAATTTGTTTACATATGTGTACACTCCAAAGAATAATTACACAGTAAACATTCATGAAATCCCCATTCATTAAAAAGACCACCCTGTCTCCACTGAGCAGGGTGTGAGCCACATTTGTCACATTTGTCAGGGTGTGAGCCAAATGTGAGCCACATTTGTCATAAATCATGTGGACATATATGTGGGGCTCAGTTTCTGAACTCTGTTCTGTTCTTAATTACTGTAGCTTTATAACAGTAAACAGTAATCTGGAATGTCCTCCCATCTTGTACTTTTTCAAAGGATTTTGGCTTTTCTAGGTCCTTTGTGTATCGATATAGATTTTAGAATCAATTAGTCAAATTCCATGGAAAAATCTTTTAGGATTTCGTTCTGGACTACACTGAATCTCTAGATCACTTTGGGAAGAATTGACATGTTCACAACCTTGACTATTTCTATTAGTAAATTTAACATATCTCTCCATTTGGTTAGGTCCCCTTTAATCACTTGATAATATTTGATCATTTTTTCCCATGGAGATCTTGCCCATACGCATATTGTGTTAGGTCTATCTCTATGTACTTCAAAGTTCAGATACTGTTGGGAAGTGATATCCTTTTTCTTATTTTAATTTCTGACTGGTGCTGGTATGTATTTTACAAAAATATTTTTTAAAAATCAGTGCCATTTCTGTTGCCAAGCCCTGGCCCATAAATATCCTATCTTTGCCCCTACTCACCCTCCCATCCAACCCTGCTATGGCCCCGCCCTGTGACCTTAATCTCTCTAAAGCTGGGGGAAGAGAGGGAGGCTGTGTGCAGATGGCTCTTCAACCTCGAAAGGAGGATGTCGGCATCTGAAGGCGGGAAAGGTGAGAGCAGCCTTCCACCCCTATAGACCCTTGGAGCAAGCCTGGGCTCTGCTCTACCCTCTGTCCCTCTGACCCATCTCCTGCCCAGCAGGACCCCACTCCCGGAGAGCCACCAGGGGATCAGAACCACATCACCCTGTTTCCATCCCATCCAGCAACAAACATAGCCTTACCACCACCTGAACCCTGACTCTCAGCCTGACCTAGACCCTGCACCTATGGCCTCCCAGCCCCATCCACAGCTTTAGTTCCCAGCTGAATCCCGACCCTAATCCTGGCCCCAACCTCTATTTTAGTGCCCACCCTGAGTCCAATTCCAAAGCCAGCCCCAAGCTTAATCCCAACACAAACCTTATCAACCAGAGGGCAAACTCCTGTTAGAGTCTAAACGCCAACATAGATACAGCCCTTACTATGAGCTCTAAATTCACCTAACCTCAGCCCCAATGTCTGGATATCAATACTGTTAGTGAGTAGGTCTCTGACTTTCCAAAAAGAGCACAGATCCATTTTTAAGGACACAGAGAGAGAGAGAGAGAGAGAGAGGAGAGAGAATGAACACTCTTGGTGGTAGTAAGTCATGAAGGCTTGGAGTCAGAAATTGCATAGGTTTGGGGTGCCTGGGTGGCTTAGTCGTGTAAGCATCCGACTTCTGCTTAGGTCATGATACCATGGCTTGTTAGTTTGAGTCCCGCGTCCGGCTCTGTGCTGACAGCTCAGAGCCTGGAGCCTGCTTCAGATTCTGTCTCCCTCTCTCTCTGCTCCTCCCCTGTTCATGCTCTGTCTCTCTCTGTCTCTCTCAAAAATAAATAAAAACATTTTAAAAATTAAAAAAAAAAAGAAATTGCATAGATTTGAATCCCAATTCAGCCACTTCACCAAATCACTTAATCTCTTTTTGCATCAATTTCCTTACCTACAAAATAGGAATAATAGTTGGTGCTAGACATTATTCTGAATGCTAAACTCATTAATCCTTACAACAACTCTAAAATGTAGGTACTCTTATCACTCCATTACACAGATAAGGAAATTGAGGCTCAGAAAGGTTGTGCAATTTTTCCCAAGACTACACACAGCTACCAAGTGGCAGAGTTAGGATTTAAACTCAGACAGCTTGTTTTCTCCAAAGCTTGGGATCTTAACCAAGCCAACCTACTGCCTCACAGAGGCTGAAACAAGGCCATGGGAATTGGGAATGGCCTTAGCTGAAAACCCCAATGCCAAATTCAAATCCCATTCAAACTTAACTTTAACCCTAATCTTGATCCTAATTCTAATCCCAACTCATTCAAACACCCAGTCCTAACTCTAAATCCTATCTCAAGCACACTCCACTCCCACCGGTATTTAAACCCAACCCAGAAGTCCACCACTCGAATTTAACCCTAAATTTGCCTCCAGCTATAAACTTAATCCTACCCCAAGCCAATTTAAACTCCCTACCAAGTCTAACAGCAAATCCTACTTGGAAATGTAACATCACCCTCCGTTCTCCATAAACTCTCTCAACCCCCAATCAATTCCAACACCAATTCTCACCCCTCAATTTTTAACTCAGGCACCCCCCAACTTTCCCTAATTTTACAAGCTCTTCTTCCCCCACACACTGGGATGGGATCAGGAAGGAGGTAGCCATGATTGCCCTAATACCCAGTCCCTCCCTGACTTGGTTTCTCCACACAGACACCATCCCAGAGCCCAGTCCAGCCAATGGGACAGGCCCTGGTCCTGAATGGGGGCTGTGCCCTGGGCCTCCAGCATCAGGGGGTGAAGAAATCAGCGGGGCATCAGGCCTGGGGACCCCTAAGCGAAGGACTCAGCACAGCAAGCACAAGACAGTGGCAGTGGCCAGTGCCCAGCGGTCACCCCGAGCGCTCTTCTGCCTCACTCTGGCCAACCCCCTGCGGCGGTCCTGCATCAGCATTGTGGAGTGGAAGCATCCTTGGAAACCAGGGGCAGCGCTCAGGGGTGAGGGTCACCAGGGTACCAAGAATCAAGGATTAGGCCAGGGCTGGAATGGAGGAGGGCTGAGGTCACTAGGGATCAAGAGTCAAGAATTGGGGGTGCTTGGGTGGCTCAGTCAGTTAAGCATCCAAGTTTGGCTCAGATCACGATCTCACAGTTCGTGAGTTCGAGCCCCACATGGGCTCTGTGCTATCAGTGCAGAACTGCTTCAGATCCTCTGTCCTCCTCACTCTCTTTCCCTTCCCTGCTTGCACTTTGTCTCTCCCTCTCTCCCTCTCTGTCTGTTTCTCTCTCTCTCTCTCTCAAAAAAAAAAAAAAAAGAGCCAAGAATTGGATTAGAGGGTGAGTTGAGAAAGGTGAAGGTCACTGCGGGGAGGGGGAGTGTCAAGGGTGAAAGACTAAATCACAGCAAGAGTTGGGGATGTCTAAGGTTTCCAGGGGGTTCAAAGTCAAAGCCTTGGTCAAGGCAGGGGTTGGGAATGTCAGGGCTGGTTACCTTGGGTCAAGCGTCAGCATTGGGTGGGGAGGGCCCCAAGGGAATGGGGGGATATTCTGAGGCCTATCTGCCTGGGTCCTTGACTATCCACCTGAGGCCCTTCGACATCCTCATCCTGCTGACCATCTTTGCCAACTGTGTAGCCCTGGGGGTCTACATCCCCTTCCCAGAGGATGACTCCAATACTGCCAACCACAACCTGGTGAGGCTCACCACCCCCGCCACCCCCAGCCAGATACAGCCCCAGTAGAACCACACCACAACCTTTCAATCCTCCCCACACCCGCTCCTCTCTGACCCAGATGGCCCGCCCCCATCCAGCCCCACCCTAGGTCCCGGACTAAGCTTCCCTTCCCCGGCCCCCCTCAAGCCCCACCCCCAAATAACTCCCTGCTCTCCCACCTCACCCCCGGCTCCGCCCTCAGGAGCAAGTGGAGTACGTATTCCTGGTGATTTTCACTGTGGAGACTGTGCTCAAGATCGTGGCCTATGGGCTGGTGCTCCATCCCAGCGCCTACATCCGCAATGGCTGGAACCTACTCGACTTCATCATCGTTGTGGTCGGGTACGCGTCTGCGAGGGACACCCCCACCTTAGTTCAACTTCCTACCCCAGGCCCGCTGAATTCGGGACTCAGGGGAAAGTCTGCTTCCGACTGCCTCCATCTGGCAGCCAGAATCAAGAATATTAACGTTTTAAACTTGTTTGCATTTCCAGTTACAGGGACTTGTGCTTTTCCGAGAAGAGAGGGGTGGAGGGAGGGCCCAAGACCGGACCTTTGCCTCCTAATTCCGTGCTACCCCACCAGGCTGTTTAGCGTGCTACTGGAGCAGGGCCCTGGTCGGCCAAGAGACACCCCACATACCGGGGGGAAGCCGGGGGGCTTCGATGTGAAGGCGTTGAGGGCTTTTCGGGTGCTGCGGCCACTGAGGCTGGTGTCTGGGGTCCCAAGTGAGTGGCATGCCCCCAGGGGTTGGAGGTGGGGGAGGGGAGCAGGAGAGGGTTAAGCTGACCCCGCCCCTGGGTCCCCACAGGCCTGCACATCGTGCTTAATTCCATCATGAAGGCGCTGGTGCCACTACTGCACATCGCACTGCTCGTGCTGTTCGTCATCATCATTTATGCCATCATCGGACTCGAACTGTTCCTTGGACGAATGCACAAGACATGTTACTTCCTGGGATCTGGTCAGCCATTCCACCCCTCCCCGGACAAGACACTCCCCTCCACTGGCTACTAGGCCCCACCCACTTCTCCTTGAAACCCACTCAAATCCACGAGACTCCGCCCCCAACCTTAGGCTCCACCTCCAGATAAGCAAGCCCTATCCCTTTACTCAAGACTCTGCCCTCAATCCCAGACTACAACCGCCCCTTTGCTAATAGCTCCTCCCTCTATCACGAGTCTCCACTCACAGGCCAAGGCCCTACCCTGCACTCGGACACCATCCTCCAGGACTGACCCCATATACTCAGGCCCTTCATCCAGACCTCAGCCCGAGCCTTGCCCCCACTCCATTTTCAAGAGACCCTTCCCAATTCACAGGACTCCTCCCCCAGGCTCAAGTCTCACTGTTATTTACAAGATTCCACCCTAAATTTTACAGTTCCACTACCCGGATACCTGTAGCTGGGACTCACAACTTTCCAGTGGTTCAGAATCCTGACCTAGCAGAGTTAGGAGCTTAACCTTGCCCTTGATTTAGAAAAATCTCGAACCCCATACTGAACTTCCCAGGT